TGTGAAAAGGGGACTTGCACTCTATGTTTCCCAAGAACCTGACAGTTTTTCTAATTGTGAAAATGGTTTAAGTTTACGCCCCTATCAATGCCAGTAGGTTACTTATGTGGCTCCTCCGAGCTGAACGTCCATCTCCGAAAGGACTGAGCCAAATAGGAATTTCGTGAAAAAGGCCTTTCCCAAGGACACAACGAAGGGTTTTTTAATTACCAAAGAGTCTATTTGCAAAATTGAAAAGCACGTACAGCCCATTTCCTCGTGTGGATATTGACCATAGTAATGTATTATTATAATTACATGTACTCTAAACGGTTTGCCCAACTCGATATAACGGAGATAATTGTCTATGCTGAAAAAAAGAACCTACTCGTATATATATATTTACACTAAGTTTTCTACATAATTAATTTGCTTTGCATATTTAATTTACAATCACACTCTTAACAATATTGTTTGTTTGTTTATTTAACTTGTTTTGGTTTTGGGTTTGGGTTTAAGGGGTGGGGGTTCTTGTCGCTTTTTTGTAACCTCCAACATGACCGAGTCTGACGTGTCTCTCCTCCTGCGTGTACTTTTTGGTTTCCCTAAGTATATTGCTTTTCATGTTTTCTTTTTACTTCACCTGCATTTTGACCCGCCAACACAGAAAGAGCATTCACCTTGTCCTCACAAACGTGGCATGGTTTTCTACCCATGCAATGTTTCGTTCACGTGAAGAGCTTTTGTTTGTTTGCTTGTTAAGACTGAGGAGAAAGTAAAGGAACTCTCACGTTTTGTCTACACAGAGACTTGTAAACACTCGGTAAAACCCACAGGAAGTCGTGCAAAGTTATGTAGAAACTACTGTGACGTGACGTCAGCAGAGAGGTTATAGATAGTACTATCTAGAACTTCCTTGAACTTCAGTCAAACAAACAGCTCTCTTCTGTCGAAAAGTTCAGAAAGAGGTGAAGGCTTAGAATATTATTATTCTCTTTTCAGCCTTGATTTTGTTATTGTGGTTATTTAACTTTTGCTACTGTTGTTTTTGTTGTTGTTGTTGTTGTTGTTGTTGTTGTTGTTGTTGTTGCTGCTGTTGTTGTTGTTGCTGCTTTTGTTTTCGCTTTTGTTTGGTACTTTTGTGTCT